ATTGATGCAAATTTCATATTCCTGTAGTTGGCACAAAGTTCTATCACCCTGCACATTTATGTTGTCCTTACTAATAGAGAGGAAAGAGATGCGTTAAGTGGTACGGAAGGAAAGAGTATAAGTAAAATGGGTTCTGAGTTTAAAATCTCTCACACTAAAAAAAAATGTCCATACTAGAAGAATATAGTTTCACTAATAAGTGACCTACATGATTTAAGTAAGTTACCTGTTGTGCACGCTCCAAAAGAATGTGGGAATAATGCGGATTAACTTTCCTAAACACAATTGATGCTGCTGCCATGGCTGCTGCAGTTTCTCCCGCAGCCTCTGAACCCGGATTTTTCTCGTCGATTTTGTAAGCACGTCGGGAGTTTCTCATGTCCTCCGGCCGTTGCCAACACTGGTGATCATTTTTCCCATCGCCAACCTAAGCATCATTCAGAAATATTAATTTTTGCACTTAAACAGAGGTATTAACTTATTAAACACTAATTCTTGGAACGAAACTTGTAAAAATTTTTAATTTTCTCAGGCACACAAAACTGAATTTCTTCACATTTGAGCAATTAATTTCTGCTAAATGGCAAAGGAATATTGGAAATTATCATTAAACAGAAAGCGAAGGAGAAGCAAAATATTTACTTGAACCCATAAGACGTGAGGCTCTGAGTGTGCTTTGATTAAATAATCAGTTCCCCACTTGATTGCCTGAAGAGCATGGCTATATTCGCCTCCAGCAGCAACGACTTGTTCTTGGTATTGCAGGACACTCCAAGACAACATTGTTATGGTAAAAGCCATTGGAAGGCCAAACTTGACATTGTCACCAGCATCATAGTATCCTCCTACCAAGTCCACCTATTAAACCACAAAACTATGATATAGGCTATAGTCCAAAATCAAAAACAAAACAAAACAAAAAGTTTTTCATAATGGCATTTCAATCCAATTTTTGAGGGTGAAAGAAAATTAGATATGCTCATACGTAATCAATTGTGACAAGCTACAAGAGAAAGAGAGAGAGAGAGAGAGTTTCACTTATTTATCTTAACCATCATGCACTTCCTTGTGAGATTTATAAGTTTAAAAGACTTAAAAATCCCTCATCATTTGTTATGAGAAAATTAGAAGGCCAAAATTGTTTTTTTTTTTTTTTGAGTACTTTGCTCTAACAATAATTTTGAGGAATTTGTCGTGAGTAAATGATGTTGTGTGAGAACCACGCCGTTATGAAAATTGAATAATAGGGTGAAGCACCAGAAGGTACTGGAACACCCTCTGCAAATTCATGGCAAAAATCTAGTGTTCCAGGAAGTGATTAACGGGGGAAAAAAAGAAGGATGGGAGGAAGAACTAGTTATTTTTCTGATTAAACTGTAATGAAAACATTAATGTACTAACCCCTTCTTGAAATCCATCTGAAAGACCAGAATGGTGTCTCCAAGTAACTCTTTGGTTATACGGCAATTGACCAGAACGTTGTGCTTCATGGTAGAGGATGCTCTTGGAAAGAGCCTCGCCATAGTTGAAACATTGAGAGAGAGGTAGGAATGCTAAGATGGGCACTAGGACAGCCCATTGTTGAACAAATATGGGGTGCCTAAGACCTGTGCCCATTCTGTTCTCCTCCGTTCGTTTTCTCCCTATGCCTCCATTGCTCTAGTTATACTAGTGAATTGCGCACGCTATTCTAGTGCGTGAAATTTTGAGTTGGATATTCCAAAATGTGTATTTTTGACATTTAAGGCACAAGAAAATTGATTTGTTTAAGTTAGACATTAATTTTTCATTTGTAAATGATAGCAATAACGCTAAGGCCAACTAAGTTTTCCACATACAACTATCTTCTTCTGGATTTAGGCATGGATACATAAATGCTAAGAACATGGTCCTTTTTATGTGCTTTTGTATCAATCATCCCAAATTAGTTAAGCATCTTCGGATTTCCTTCTTTTCCTAAAATTTTCCCTTCATTTCCTTATTCTTTTCTCTTTTGTTCTAGTTTGGAAATGATATTGCTGATATTTATCTTATTTTCCTAATACTAATAGTTACTATTACAATACTGTTAGTCAAGCCTAACGAGTGCCCGTTGGCCACTCATTCATTAAGACGTAGTTCATGTGTCAATATTTTAGAAATGTAGAGTTAAATAGGGAAAACATATAAATGCAAAGTAAGGTATAATTATTAGTGTACGTATTCACATAGTATATTAGGTGTGTCTTAACAAATGCATATTAAGAACTTGTTAGAAAAACCAGTTGTCGATTATAAAATATTTCATTTAACATATAAACAATTAAGTACGACACGTGAAATATGTGTCGAAGCCTCCATCATCTGAAAATAGACTTTTTTCTTGACTGATTTTTAATTAAATTAAATTAAAAAGTGCAGAGTAGGATTTAGCTGTCTTGATATCTTTATTTCCTATTGCAATTAAAAAAAATTAATCCTAAAATCTCCATCGCACAAGATCTTTCTATTTGTGAAGTGGAATTTTGTTTCGAGCTAAACTTCAAAAAATCTCCACTACAAAATATGTTTCTTGGCTGATTTCTAATTAAATTAAATTAAATTAAAAAGTGTAGAGCAGGATTTAGCTGTCTAGATATCTTTATTCACCTATTGTATATAAAAAAATCGCAAAATCTCCACCACACAAGATCTTTTTATTTATGAAATGGAATTTTGTGTTGAGCTAAACTTCAAAAAAATCTCTACTGCAAAATATGTTTCGAATTTTGAAGTGAAGAGTTATAGTAAAACCTCTATAAATTAATAAGCATGAAATCATACCAATTCTATTATTTTAAAGAGGTATTAATTAATTAATATTTTATTAACTTATCAAGTGTATTTACAATTCAGAGAAACACTCATATAATCAACTAAAGTTTATTTTATTTTATAAAAAATATGAATTATTCTATTCATAAAAGAAGGCTAAAAGTCTAAGGAATATAAATCAATCCAAGTTCAGAGATCTCAAGTTTAGAAGAAAATGTTGCTACCGTCACTGAAATCCCTACTAATAATGGAGTTGAGGATGATACAGTATTTTTGGAGCTTGTAACGTAGCGAAAGGAAGCACACAACGCATCAATAACTTTTCATAATTTCGTATTGCAATATAAGAGTTCAAATCTAGAACTTTTAGATGCAATAAGAAAAATTAGGGATAAGATTCACGTAGATTTAAATTTTAAGAAAAAACAAATAACAATAAATTCAAAATTTATGAAGATATGATGTGTAATTTTAGTGGATTATTAATTTATAAAATGAATGGGACTAGAGGTTATGCAAGGTTTTTAAAAAATTATTATTTTAGTATCTTATCGAAATTATTAATTTACATCGTTAGCTCAAGTCGAGGCCAAAAAATTATTATTTAATAAATATTATTAATTTATAGAGATTTTATTTATTTTGAACCAAATTGAATACTGTAACCCGAAAGGTAATAGAACAGTTGGCACCAACTGCGACAAGTATAGAAGCAATTCTTTAACATCCCGTCTCTATAGCATGATAATAATTATATTATCGATGCTGTTGGGTTGATTATTAGGTAATATTGAAAAAAGTCTAAACAATTTATAAAAATAGGAATGATACAGTGAAGTTGGGGCACAATCAAGGAGATCTTAATCTAATAGTTAAAGTTAAGAATCCAGAAATGAGTAGTCTTGACCTCTTGGATTCAAATCCCCTTTTCTTTTCTGCGTTTGTTAAACTTCATTCCTCTTATATTACAGAAATTATTTTGAATTGATTATTTATATATATAAAAAATTAGAGCTTGATCCCTGTTTTGCTTCTTGAGCTCATTACATTTAACAGAAGTAAAAAAAAAAAAACAATATTTACCTAACATTCTCTTTCTCACTGACATGCACACACATATACACATACTCTCTCTCTCACACATAGACACACACACACATACACATACTAACATTTGTGGGGTAAGCATTCTTGATTTCTAATATAATCTACTTGTTTTACACATAGACTTGCATTTTTTTTCCTTCAACACACCTTTGCATACATAAATATACTTTCATTTAGACACATTTCTCACATACACACATTTTCACATTTACACATATACTCTCTCTTTCTCTCTTTCACATACACACACATGCTCTCTATTGTCTCTCGTATACATACATTCTTTCATATATTTTTTTACATATGTACATATACGCACACATACACACATTCTCTTTCTCATAGACATGCACACACACATACACATCCTCTCTCTCTCTCTCACATACACATACACTCTCACACATAGACACACACACACATACACATACTAACATTTGTGGGGTAAGCATTCTTGATTTCTAATATAATCTACTTGTTTTACACATAGACTTGCATTTTTTTTCCTTCAACACACCTTTGCATACATAAATATACTTTCATTTAGACACATTTCTCACATACACACATTTTCACATTTACACGTATACTCTCTCTTTCTCTCTTTCACATACACACACATGCTCTCTATTGTCTCTCGTATACATACATTCTTTCATATATTTTTTTACATATGTACATATACGCACACATACACACATTCTCTTTCTCATAGACATGCACACACACATACACATCCTCTCTCTCTCTCTCACATACACATACACATACACATACACATACAAACATTTCTGGGGTAAGTATTCTTGATTTCTAATGTAATTTACTTATTTTACGCATAGACTTGCATTTTTTCTCTTCAACACACCTTTGCATACATAAACACATATATCAATTCGCTTTTCATATTGAAATTGAGTTTAATAATACTAACAAGTGACATTTAAAGTTAGATCCTCTTCACGCGCACGCATGCCAAAGCCAAAAAAAAAAAGGTCAAAAAAGAAAAGAAAAAGCAAGAGCAAATGCATGCTCATCCAAAACGACAACGTTTTAGCGCTTCACTGTCCTTCAAAATGTAGCTACAATGATAAAGAAAGGCTAAGCAGCCACTGAAGAGAGTCTGTCTGTATTCCTGCCTTCGTGGGTTATGAAAGATAAGACGGAGAGAGACCAAAAACAACATAGAAATTACACACAGAACACACACTTCTGGAAATTCCGATGTTAATCTATGAATGAATGAGAAGAAAAAATGAAGACAGCAACTTTGAACCAAATAGAAGTGTTACCCCATTTTCAAAAACCCTCTTGCTATCCTTCTAAAACCCTTAAACCCCACTCTTTATTTTCCAAAAATCAAGTATTTTTCACTCCAAAGTTGCAATTTTTAAAGCCCCAGATTAAACCCTTTTGCTTTAGCCCCAGAAAGCTCAGAATCAAGGCTTTCAATGCTTCTTCTTCTTCTTCTTCTGCATCTCAGGGCTCCAGTTCAGATGAAAATGAATCAGCTGAGCAGCTTTTTGAGGTTTGTATATTGATTTTTAGTATCAAAAGTTTGTATGGCTTTCTTCTTGCGTTTTGAAATCATGGTGCTTTTCGTTTTTTTTTTTTTTTTTGAATTTTAGGTAGTAAAAGAATGAAAAGTCAGTGGCTTTTAAAGAATTATCTAGTTCCAATTGGGTAATACTAATAACATTCGGGTTATCTTTTTTTTTAGGTCCTTGTTCTTGCTTGGAAAATTCGGGAAACGTGTTAATAACGTTTTGTTATTGATTTATTTGGTCATCAAAAAAATAATAAACTCCTTTTGTACTCAAATGTTGCGGAAGCAAGAAAATAAAAGTAAAATTTGATTTTGTAGATGCCTTCTTAGTCTCCTTTTCTATAAGAGTTCAGTTGTTTATGATGTAAGTGAATTAATGGGATTTCAGAAATTGAAAGAATCGGAGAGAGAACGTGTAAATAAGCTGGAGGAGTTTGAGAGGAAGGCAAATGTTCAGTTGGAGAGGCAGCTGGTAATGGCTTCTGATTGGAGCAGGGCATTGCTGACAATGCGGGGAAAGGTGAAGGGAACTGAATGGGATCCTGTGAATTCTCATAGGATAGACTATAGTGAGTTCCAGAGGCTTCTGAATTCAAACAATGTACAGTTTATGGAGTACTCAAACTATGGACAGACGGTTTCAGGTACTACAGATTCTTCTTATTTGGTTATATGCTGGGTTAGTGCTGAATAATTTTTTGTATAGTCATGTTAGTGTATACTGTTAGCTTGATCCTCGGTGGAATGGAAAAGGATCATTTGCTCTTGATTTGGGGTTTGGCTGACAAAATTGGTTTTAACATACTTCATGAAGTTCTCAAATTTATAGTGGAATTCTGAAAGTTAATTGCCGAAATAAGTTGTCTGCCTAAATGAGCAGAGAAGGGTGAAGTTTTAAACTTAATGTTTGATAAATTTGACTTCAGATACCTCTATTATAGGTGCTGGTGAGTGATGCTTGTCTGTTGAAAGTTCAGACATATGGTGATGAAAGGAAAACTCAATGTCGGGTTTACTGTCAAAAAGTGGAAGCCTCTACGTCATGTAACCGGTTTTAGTAACCTTTTCTACAAGTTCTTGACATTTTGACTTTTAAGCATAGGGTGTTTGTGCGAGTAAATGTACATTGTTTCATCATTTCTTAAGATCTGAGTGAATATACATTTGTGCATGTGTATGTGTTGGTGTGTGGATGTGTGGTTCTGTATGACATTAATGGAGCACAAACTAAGTAAATGAGGCCTAGCGTGCACAGATAAATGAATTCATTTTCAATACATGGATATGTTGAATTTTTATGTGCATAAAGCTTCTAATATTTCCTTATTCTGTCATGTTGGCATGTGTCTGTTCTCCCAGATGTGCATACATACATAGGTCACTATGGTTCTTCCCAGTTCACCTTTTAATCCATCTTGGATCTAAAAGAGGCAGGTTTTTGGTTGGATGTGACCTGTTGTGTCAATGAAATTGTGCTGCATGGAAATGAATACCTCAAAGAAGGAATACAGGTTCTCCATGCATGATTGTGATTTGTGAGAAATGGGCATAAATATGTTAATGAAACTACATTTAAAAGCATGTTAATGTCATGCAGATGTGCATATGACATTATCTGCATGTTTGAGTGTATGCATATATATGTAGAGAGAGTCAGGGGTTTATATTAGGAATCTCTTAAAGAGCATTTTTAGCAAAGGGATGCTAAATCAGGTTTTATTGTGAAACTCCGAAAACAATCTGTCTTATCAGCAGAAAGCTGTAAAAAAGCATTGTTTACATAGATATGGTACATCATTCCTTCTTTGAATAGATTCAGCGAAGTTTATATCCCGTTAAATTATTCAGAAGATAAATAATTCATGAATGTAGTCGTGCTCGGTTTGCAATTTACATGCATAACTTTAATCTAGTAAGAAACAACAGATTACAGTCTTGTTTATTTGATTATTCTGGGTGGACTGTTGTTTTTGTAGCAGTGCATTGCAAAATTCAATACATCTGCTTTACATTCCAAAACTGTTTAAATAATCAATACATGTAACATAACTTTGGCTTGGTTTGATTACCTGTTTGAAGTAGAAAACATTTCTTCTGATACTGAACCAAGATGATATAGGCTAGCACAATTTGATAGAATCTGCCAGGTAGAACAAAGAAGGAAGAAAGAAAGGAGTAGGTAGAGTTTTGAAGAAAGACAAATCTATGCAACTGCTCAAAGTTGTTATGTTTGAATAATTTATTGTTTGGGTGGTATATAGCTCACCTTCATAAGTGAAAATTAAATAAATACTCATATAATTATTTAGAATTGTGAATAGAAGCCATCTAGATCGGTTTCACCAATTGTTGCTGCTTAAAAGCTATCCCCACCTGAAAAAAAAAAAAATTTATGAAGAGCTTGAACTTACTGATATAGGCTATGTGGATAATGTTACAGATATTCATTGAAATCTAGTAAATCTGTTGTGAGGGCTGGAAATGAGACTGAGTTTCAAACATTGACATGGGAGAGGAATTCCATCCAATTTTGTACCTATTTCTTAATTTCTCATTGATGACTAGAAGTACTGGTGATATTAGAACCCACAGAATTCCTAGAGTTTTGCTTGTCTTTATTATGCAATTGAGTGATATTGCTCGTTTTGTGGTATTCAAAAAGGTTGGATCTGCATCCAAATGTTGCAACATGTCTGATTTTTATACCTTTGGTTTCCACATGAACCAGTTGATTGGTTATGTCACCGATTACCTAGAATCGATTTTGGAAAATATTAGCAAGTTAAATCAAGTTCCCTATGTTTCCTCCTTATCTGTTTTTGGTATCAAAATTTTCTGGGATCATATACAATTAATTTACCTGTTGTCCTATGTCATTTTTGGTATTGTGTAGGGTTGGATCTTCATCTTACAATTGCAACCTATCTAATTTTAAACTTTGTGGTTTTCATTTGAAATATTCAATTGATGCTGGCCTTTCTTTCTTTATTTCATCAATCAACCAGATTCATCTTTAGAAATCATAGGTTAAATTAAGTTCCTCTGTTGTCTCCTTATTTTCTGAATCTCATTATATTTCTTTCTCTTGCCTTTTATATTTAGTGATTTTACCATACTACAAAGATGGCAAAAGGGAAGGTTCTGCAGGGAATATGAACAACATTGTTTTCCGGCGCCATGTGGTCAATCGTATGCCTATTGATTGTTGGAATGATGTTTGGCAGAAGTTACATCAACAACTTATAAATGTTGATGTGTACAATGTTAATACAGTTCCAGCAGAAGTTTATTCAACTGTTGCAACCGCAGTTGTGTGGTCTATGCGCCTTGCTTTTGCAATTGTATTATATCTCTGGATTGATAACATGATGAGACCTATTTATGCAAAACTCATACCATGTGATCTCGGAGAGCCCCCAAAGAAGAAAAGACAGCCACTGAAACAGCGTGCCCTTGGATCATTGGGCAAGAGTAGGTAGGTGGGTAGCTTTTATTTGTCAGTTGATAGAACTTATTATGTCCATGCAGTCTATTTTCATGTACTTTGTAATGTATTCTTTGATAATCCAAGTATGCCTTGTCCATTCTTCACAAGAAGCTTGGATATGCGGTCTCTCTCTTTTTTTGTTACTATACAATCATCCATGTTAATTGTCATGATTTAATGCTTTGGGTAATATATATATATATATATAATTTTTATGTGGATCTGTGTATTGAGTTCAAGTTGCTTGAGTATCTTGTTGCTGCAATTAATTTTACATATAGTGACAATCCATGCCGTTTGGTTTAGAGTTTCTTAAGGAACAGTCCTTCCTTCGGAATAATTCTTAAATAGTGAAATTCATTTCTTCTATTCTATTATCAAGAGAAGTTTGTGTCACCTTTCCATTGCAGTTCTTACACATAATTTTTTTAGTTTCCTAGGGATGGGAAGTGTTTTCATGAAGTGTTTGATTCTCATACCTGACGTAGTTGTATATTGCTTGCTTCCTTTGTGCTAGTGTTCCCAATTCTATAAAGCCCAAATGTCTGTGCCTGGGTCCTACTTTCAGTTTTCATTATGGTTGCTTATTCATAATGAGCATGCAGCATCTATGGCTAGGTAATCATTTTCAAGGACAAGTTTCCTTTGTTTTTATCCTACCCTCCTGCTAAACTATATCAAAAGAGGTAGGGAAACATATGAGCTGTTGTACTTGTTCTCAATGTTGGAAATGATGTTATGATCTCATTGGATACTTAGTTTTGCGATGATGTAGTAGATCTAACCTTTTGACCTGGCTTTGTACTAGGGCTAAATTTATATCAGCAGAGGAAAAAACTGGTATTACATTTGATGATTTTGCTGGGCAAGAATACATTAAGAGAGAGCTACAAGAGATTGTAAGCATTTTAAAGAATGAAGAAGAATTCCAAGATAAAGGCATCTATTGTCCAAAAGGTGTACTTCTCCATGGCCCCCCTGGAACTGGGAAAACTCTTCTTGCAAAAGCTATAGCTGGTGAAGCAGGTCTTCCATTTTTTGCAGCTAATGGGACTGACTTTGTGGAGGTAAACGATGTTCTATTTCTCTTGTGCTCTAAAATCTTCTTTCGCCAACTATAGGTAAAACAATTCAAGGAAGTTTGGACAAGAAATTGCAATTTGATATGTAAGCTGTAGTAATTTTGACAGGGTATTAATGTGGAAATGATATCGACAATATGAGGTGGATATTCTTTTGATATTACCCTTGAAAGTTCTATATCTATTAATTCTCATATCAACGGAATAAACTATATAATCTGATACATGGTACAGATGGTAATTTAATGATTTCCTCCACTTTGGTTTCTTACATGCATTTTAAATGTGTGTCAAACTTTTGATGTGATAAATGTGCTTCTGAATATTGAGCGTTATATTGCCGATAATAAAACTTTTGAGGAGTCAGAATCTTGTGCTAGAGTATGGAGATTTGTGACTAAATTCCACATTAAGGGTGGTATTTAAAAGCATAATATGAGGATGAGACATGGTTCTTCTTGTGTTATTTTTGCATGTTTAGAGTTGAATGTCCTTGTTAATAAGCAACCACTCAATTCTGTGTTTTAATCAAGTGAGGATTAGCTCAAGTAATTTCAACTTCTTATGCATGTAGCCATTATGAACAAGAGCTTGAGACACTAGGATACTTTTAAGTTAAGATCATCTGCTTTCCAGATGTTTGTAGGAGTGGCTGCATCTCGTGTGAAGGACCTTTTCGCTAGTGCGAGGTCATTTGCCCCATCAATCATCTTTATTGATGAAATCGATGCAATTGGCAGCAAACGTGGTGGCCCTGATATTGGTGGGGTAAGTTATTTTGGAGTTAACAAGGCATATATGCTTTTAGCATAAGCAACTCAGTTTCTGGAAATGTTAAATTTCCATTTTTCTTCTGCTTGTGGCTCTTATTGAATACTGCATTATTCATCTATTGGGTGTTGAACTTTATGAACTACTACTACTGCAAATTTGCTATTTTTGAGGTACTTATGTTGGAGGGTGATTATTGACTACTTAATCATATTCTGAAGCGCTTCTTCTGAGGTACCCTCTTATTGATGCAATTACATTGAGGACACGTGCTGTTTAAGTTTTTGTCAAATAGTAGAAAATTTTCCCTATTCTCCAACAGCAAGATGCTCCCCTGGAGCAGATAGTCACAGGAATTGAGCTATCATAGATAGGAACATTTAGCATAGAGATTTGTATTATCTTCCAGCATAAGCCATATTTCTGATTTTCCTTCCTTTTAAGTGTATGCATATCCAAGGGCATAAAAAGTTGATTTGTTGACGAGTCAAATGTAAATTATACTCAAACTTTTCGGGATTGGAGCTTTCTATGAATAGTAAAGAAAGAGAGTAAATAAACTCTTAAACCTACTAAAATGCCCATTTATCGGGCTGCCCAAAACTGGTACAAAGCAAAGCATTTATGCTGCCCGAATTGTGACTGCCATCAAGTCAATAGGGTGGACCCCATACATTTATTTAAAGGTACCATCTCACTTGTTGTTGTGTGCTGCACACACAAAGCCAGTTGGTGCATACTGGTGACGCACTGCTTTAATGCATGCATAGTTTTTGATAAATTTTGTTGGACCCACACATATAATTGTAGTAGCTTTGATGATAAAAATGGAAGGAGGAGAAAATTTCACTTGCTATTTTTGGTAGCATGACATAATTTTGGGACAGATCAAAAAGGAAAGTATGATACTTTCAGTGGGACGAAGGGAGTAGCTGCTATACCTATTTTTTTAACTTAATAAAACGATTTACAGCATTAGCCTATGCTGGCCCTCTTATTGCTAGAACTGTTGCAAACTATATCTGTCATCTATTACTAAGTAGTTCTTTTCTTTTAGTACAATCATTATGGCTTTCACTCATTCTGCTACTCAACAAATCATAGTCATCCTTCCTGGCATTGGGACCTTATCTGGTGATTTTCCTATGAAACTAATAAATAATTTGAAATTGGAACTAGTTTCCAAAATTGTTGCCAGACTGAAAAGTTGATAGTGATTTTTTTACAAAATAAGTGAAGCAACATTTTCCATCATATCAATATGCGAACATCCAAAAATGCTCTTGGTGTCCCATATGCTTAAGGTTCACATTATAGGCTTCATACCTTACCACCCCTCACTGATCTCAGATGCAACCAAAAAGCACTGAAGGAAAACCTAATTCAGTCATGATCTCTGAAGAACTCTGGTGGCTCATAATTTATTTATTATTTTAATCTGTGCATATCTTTGCATTTACACATTACTCTGTTGACTGTTTCTTCTTTCCTTTTTTCCTTCCTTTTTAATTGTCTGATGACTTTTGACCTTGATTTCTGTGCTACATGATGAAAAAAGTTGGAATTCCGTGAAACATTAAGTAATAAGGAACTCAACAAAATCCTTGCAGATGAAAACTTTGAAAACCAAGTCCTTGAATTGGGGTAAACTTCTGTCATCTATTACAATGGTTTTAATTTAAATTTGATTTTACTTTGACTATCAGTTACCCGTAATTAAAATACGATTGAACTGGTGTGCTATACTATTTTTTAGCTGCAGTTTTAAGAGGTAAGTTGTCATTCTTATGAAGTGAGTGATGCATTATATGGTTGAATTGAGTATTATTTTGTGGATTTACTTTCACTTATAAAAGCTTAACCATTGGAGTATTTATTTGAATGGGGAGTGAAAAATAAGTGCATCAACTAACAATCTGATTACCATCAAATTGTGGTAGAGGAACATGTTTGGATTTGGTTATATGATTGCTTTTATATTCTCAAAATTGTTTTCCTGAGTTTTCCAAGAGCTGATAAGAGAGGATGGAAGCTGATAAGAGTACATGATTGATGTGATCTCAAACATTATTTGCTATACCAGGGTGGTGCAGAGAGGGAACAAGGATTGCTTCAGATACTTACTGAAATGGATGGTTTTAAAGTGTCAACATCACAGGTTTGCTTATATCTGGTTTGGATGCCTGTGTTCTAAACAAATAATCAAAGTCTCTATGTAGTTTAAAGATTTAGAGGTTACTTCTTTAAGATGTGGAAGTTTCAAGCTGATTTCAAGAATAGATGCTTAATGTGTTAGTCAAATTTGGATGTCTCAGGTGCTAGTTATTGGTGCAACAAATAGACTAGATATCTTGGATCCTGCTCTCTTGAGGAAAGGCCGTTTTGACAAGATTATAAGAGTTGGCTTGCCATCAAAAGATGGTAGGTTGGCCATATTAAAGGTATGCTTCCGTAATGCTTTTTATTCTTCACGTTCTGAAGCTCCTGCTGAATATTTTCATAGACGGTTCAAAGAAGAGAATCGATCTTTGTTTTGTAATATTGTCATCAAATATGATGCAGGTGCATGCGCGAAACAAGTATTTTCGTTCTGAAGAGGAGAAAGAAACTCTGTTGAAGGAAATAGCTGAGCTCACTGACGATTTTACTGGGGCGGAACTGCAAAATATACTGTATGCTTTGCCTATACTCTATATTTCGGTCTTGTTTATAATAAGGTACTTGACTCTGATTCACTGGACAGGAATGAAGCTGGGATTTTGACTACTAGAAAGGACATGGACTATATAGGGCGTGATGAACTTCTGGAGGCATTGAAAAGAGTAAGTTTCAATGTTATAAGATGCTGGAGAACTGTTTTATATATATCATAGATATATTGGCACAAAATTACATAATGTTGCCAATGTATTGCAGCAAAAGGGCACATTTGAAACTGGCCAAGAAGATAGCACAGAAGTTCCTAAGGAATTGAAACTAAGATTGGCATATCGAGAAGCTGCTGTTGCTGTTCTTGCTTGCTCCTTCCCAGATCCTTATCGGCCTTTCACCGAGGTTTTTTAGTATATGTTTATAAGTTGTCATTCTTCTTGCAGAGCTGGGATGATAAACTTAAACTATTTGTTTGATATTTGTAGACAGATATAAATTCTATCCGTAGTCGACCGAATATGCACTATGTGGAAACCCCAGGCAGGGTTTTTAAAAGAAAAGGAGATTACGTGAACTCCATAGTGCGTGCATGTGCTCGTGAGTGACAAAGTTTCTTTCTTTAATGCCTATGTCTTCTTTTTGTGTAGTTATATATCTATGTTTCTTATGCCACAAGTCAATGGATATTCAGATGATTGTAGTTTTGCTGCAATTGGGCTCTCCACTGATGTCTTTGTGATTTAAGCAGTAGCAAAATCATCTATGTCTCTTAGGACCGTAGCACATCCTATGCTTTTGGCTTGCGGTTGCGGTCCCTGTTAATTTTCTTCTTCTGTCTAAGGTGTAGGAAGTCACATGGGTAATTGTCTTGGCACTGTCTTGTTTTGTCTATAGGACTATAATAGGATTTAGTCTCTCTGTGTCTCACTGCAATTCTTTTTAGTGGTGCTTCTGTATGGATATAATTCTTTTGTAGAACCAATCATGTTAAAGTTGAATGATAGCAAACCCCAACATTTCATCCTCCCCTCCTCAAAAAAAAAAAAAAAAGAAATAAAATAAATTGAGCAGGTTTTATCTTGATGATTACTTTTTGCGATGGGTATCTGTGCCCTTCTTTACATCCCTTTGTTTTAGTTTACTTGTTTTTTACTCAATATGTCTGTTAGCCCTCCTTAAGGGGTTCTATATTTAAGTTGCTTGTGACATACCACCGGACTATAGGACTAGAGTATTTGATGAGCATAAAGGTAAAACTCTATATAATAGAAAGTCGTAAAGCTTTAATGGACTTTCTTGCTGATTCTGATGTTGATACAGTGTTCATGATCTCCATAAGGTTTCTTTAGTCCTCAAAATTGGTGAAGGCAGACAGAAAAATAGCATGTGATTTGCTAATGGCATACTTTTGCAGCTAGAGTTATTGAGGAAGAGATGTTTGGAGTAGACAATCTTTGTTGGATTTCTGCCAAGTCAACTGTAGAAGCTTCGAGGCTTTCAGAATTTCTGATTCTGCAGACTGGAATGACTGCTTTTGGGAAGGCTTACTACAGATACCAGAATGATCTTGTGCCTAATGTAAAGCATATGAATAGTGTCTCAATAAATTTTGATTACCAATTATTCCACTCATGTTATTATTTGCATTAGATATAGATACTTTGTGGTATTAAGTATGCCAAGCTTCATTTCCAGCTTGCTGCCAAACTTGAAGCACTTAGAGAAGAGTACATGCGCTTTGCCGTAGAGTCATGCTCATCTGTGCTAAGAGAAAACCATTTTGCTGTTGAAAGTATAACAGGTTTGTATTAATCTTTCATGTCAAGTCTTCTTTCTCAGATTACACTTCTTTAGATGTGAAGATTGTAACTGCTACCAACGGTTGTAGCCGCTCACTGCTGTTCCACTTCAACCTTCTGTCTTGAGCAGATATTTTACTTGAGAAAGGAGAGATAAAAGCTGATGAAATATGGAGAATATACAAAAGCTCTCCACGCATACCTCAGGTAATTTGTCAAATTTGAATGTTTACGGCTTCCTTCTTTTATCGTCTTCTATTACTCTTAAAGATTTTGTCTGAGAATTGGTTTTGCATGATCCTTTTTCTGGGTATTAGGTAATATATTAGCACTGTTTGTGGCAATAGATTTAGAAAACATTGATGAAGTGAGAAACTGAATGCTGTTGGTGTCATTTATAAGCCAACTAGTACTCATTCGACCACAATCTTTTAGGTTTCAAAGTGATAAGGTAGTCCTCACTGATCTGACTTTTGGTGTGGAGATAATTGGGTTGAGTTGGCCCAACCGTTACCACAGCTAGTTACTGAGCTGCTGGCTATTTTGCTCGTTTCACTTCTTACATGTAGTTGGATCCTGGCAAATTCTTTCCAGTTATTTGCAGATGCAATGCATATCTGATTGTCAAATTGGCCTTTTTCTTTAGATCATGAATGCAGGATTAGGGAAGGATTTGAATGCAGGGCTTTTTTATAGACGTGTTTGGCTGGCAGGCAATTTTAAATTAATGCAAAAATGATGATGGTTTCAATCCCAAATATGTCCCCCCCGGGTGGGGGGGGGGGGTGTTATCTGAGATCATCTTAGTTTGAAACCACGACTTTTTCTGGTTGCAGACAGCAGAAACATTTAAATTAATAGGAACCTTTATTTGCAATCTAAAAACATGTCGAATTTACTGAAGTGCACAGGCATAGTGAATAGGATGACTGTCACTGTGAATAACCTCATTTATCACCATATGCAGTAAATATCCAAGCCAAGAACACTGGTAAGGATATCATGATTGCTGAAGTACATAATACGGTTTGCTGTCTTCCGTCTTTTTAGTTAACAATCATGATGAAATGATTTAAATGTTGGGCACTGTTAACAGGTATTTTGGGAGGAAAACATCTAGTCACAGTATTATGAGTGACTAACTAGTATTTATAGGAGTACAAATCTAACCAACTATTTATAAGAATACCCTTACTAATTTATTATCTACAAGAATACTGATATTCTTCTAACACTCCACCTCAAGTTGGAGCATATATATCATAAGCACCTAACTTGTTACTAATGTATTTCACCCTAGAACCCCCTAGACTTTTGGTAAATAAATCAGCCAATTGATCTACAGACGGTACATGAGATGTCTTGATGACTCCGTCAAGCAATTTCTCTCGAATGAAGTGACAATCAATTTCAATATGTTTTGTCCTTTCATGAAACACTAGATTAGACGCAATATGGACAGCAGCCTGATTATCGCACATTAAATTCATAGACTGTTTATGCTCAAACCCAATTTCAAGTAACATACTCTTCAACCAAACCAACTCACACACAGTGTGAGCCATAGCGCGGTATTCAGATTTTGCACTTGATCTGGAGACAACTGTTTGCTTCTTACTTTTCCACGACACTAAATTACCACCAACAAACACACAATATCCTGTGGTCGATTCGATCTGAGGCAGAATCAGCCCAATCTGCATCACTATATCTTTCAATATCAGTGTGTCCATGATTTTGATACAGCAACCCTTTTCCAGGAGTACTCTTAAGATACCTGAGAATCCGTATAACAGCATCCCAATGACTAGTACGAGGGGTATCAAGAAATTGACTCGCAACACACTGCAAATGAAATGTCAGGTCTCGTTACAGTGAGATAATTTAATTTACCCACAAGTCTTCGATATTGCCTAGGATCATCAAGTAATGCACCTTGATCTCCTACTAATTTCACATTGGGATCCATAGGAGTATCCACAGGTCGGCAACCTAACATCTCAACTTCATTCAACATATCGAGTACATATTTCCTTTGACATAAATAAATCCTATATTTAGACCGAACTACCTCAATACCCAGAAAATACTGTAGATGACCTAAATCCTTTGTCTGAAAGTTTGCCTGCAGATTGGATTTAAGTTTCTGGATCCCCACAACATCATCACCTGTAATCACAATATCATCCACATAAACAACTAATAAAATTTTACCAGCATTAGAATGCCGATAAAATACAGAGTGATCTACTTCACATCTTGTCAGACCGAACTCCATGACAACACTACTAAACTGGCCAAACCAAGCCCTCGAAAACTGTTTCAATCCATATAAGGATTTTTTCAAACGACAAACCAACCGTGGATTTTTCCCCTGAACAACAAATCCAGGAGGTTGTTCCACATATATCTCTTCTTCCAAATCTCCATGCAGAAATGCATTTTTCACATCCAACTGATGCAATGGCCAATTATAAGTTGCTGCCAAAGAGATAAGAAGACGAACAGAGGTTATCTTTGCAACAGGAGAAAATGTTTCGAAGTAGTCGATTCCATACACCTGAGCAAATCCTTTAGCTACTAGACGAGCCTTCAATCTATCAATAAAACCATTAGGTTGTACTTTTATAGTGTACACCCATTTACAACCAACAACCGGCTTACCGGAAGGAAGAGGAACAAGATTTCAAGTACCATTTTTCTCCAAAGCAAGCATCTCTTCTTGCATAGCTAATCTCCAACCAGGATCATTGAAAGCATGGGTAATAGACTTAGGAATGGATACAGAATCAAGGGAAGCAACAAAAGAAAAATATGACAGAGAGAGACGAGAATAAGAGACAAAATTAGAAATAGGATGAGAAGTACAATGTCTCTTACCTTTACGTAAAGCAATAGAAAAATCTGACTCACAGGAGGGCGTCATACCTAGATTTGAAGATTGAGAGTTAATTGGTGAAGTGCGTAGCATATCAAGAGCTTTCTCAACCATGGAACGACGAGAATAAACTTGAAGATTAGGACGAGATAATCGAGTTGTGGAATCTGGTGAACTAGATAACTCAGGTAATAAAGATGAAGGGACTGGCAAAACAAGAGAAGGAAAAGGGGAACACTGGTCTAACTCATAAAACATACCTTGCTTCATAAAATAAGGAGTGAATTCAAAGAAAGTAACATCAGCACAAGTGAAAAAACGATTTAAAACTTGACTGTAACATCTATACCCCTTTTGTGCTCGTGCGTATACTAAGAAAATACACTTAATGGCACGAAAATCTAATTTATCTACCTTTGGAGCAAGCTGATGAACAAAACACACACACCTAAAAATACGAGGAGGTAATTTAAATATAGGGTCATGAGGAAAAGAATGGAGTGAGGTAATTGGCCTCCAAGAATATTGGAGGGCATGCGATTAATTAAATAACATGCAGTTAAAACTGCATCACTCCAAAATTGTTTGGGCACATTCATGTGCTACAAAAGTGTCCGAGCAATTTCGATTAAATGTCCAATTTTTCTTTCAGCAACTCTATTCTGTTGTGGAGTGTGAGGACAAGAGGACTGATGAAGAATATCGGATTTAGTCATAAAGGTATCAAAAGGAGTGGAAAAATATTCTTTCGCATTATCACTGCGAAGTATACATACAGGCACACCAAATTGATTCTTTATTTCTGTAACAAATGCATAAAAAATGGAATATAGTTTTGAACGATTCTTCATTAAATAAAGCCATTTAACTCTGGAAAAATCATCAACAAAGATTACAAAATATTTAAAACCTAATTTTGAAGTGACTCGACTAGGACCCCAAACATCAGAATGAACTAACAAAAAGGGTTCCGAAACCCGTTTATTGACTCTAGGGGCAAAAGAAACACGATGATGCTTTCCTAATTGACAAGACTCGCATTTTAATGAAGACAACTGACTCAAGGTAGGAACCAACTTCTTCAAATTTTGTAGAGACGGATGACCCAAACGACAGTGAATTTCAAGAGGAGAAACAGTAGCAGGGCACACAATCGGACCATTAGAGTTGAGAAAATAAAGACCATTATGCTCATGTCCTCCACCAATCGTCCTCTTTGTCTTCAAATCCTGAATTGACAACAAAATTAGGAGAAAAAGTAACTGAACACTGTAGAAATTTAGCAAGCTTACTAACGGACATTAGATTAAAAGGCAAATTGGGTACGTAAAGAACAGAAGGCAGCGGAAGAGATGAGTTAATTTCTACAGTGCCTAGTCCTTTAACTTTAGTTGTAGATTCATCAGCTAAAGTAACATGAGGGAAGGAAGTAGACTTTTGAAAATTAGAAAAATTTTTAGAGGTACCTGATATATGATCAGTAGTTCCGGAATCAATGATCCATGAGTCAAAATTAGATGATGTGGAGAGACAAGCCATAGCATTATCTTTTTGTGCTAAAGAAGTAGAAGGAAGAGATGCGTGATTTGCAATTTGGTACTGCAGAAATTTGACATAATCTTTCTCAGATATGGTAAAAGTCTTCTGGGACCCTTGTGCTGAAGAACTTGATTCAGCTTGGTCAGTGGTAACCGTATTAACAAACCGAGGTGGTTTTCCATTTAAATCCCAACAAGTATCACGAGTGTGATTCTTTAAACCACAATGATTGCATTCACGGGTGTCTCGACCTCCACGACCCCCACGACCTCCTCTACTTCTTCCTCCACGAGAGCCACGTCCAAAATTAAGTTGCTCTATCCGATTGTTGTTAGTAATTAAAGCAGATTTGTCATTAATTAGAGCACCGTCACCCTGTGCGTTGTCCTTAGATGCAGAACGTAAGACCCGAGCATACGCCTCTGCAAAGGATGGTAATTGTTCACCTGCTAAAATTTGAAATTTGATTGGTTCAAATTCTGGCTTGAGACCAGCTAAGAATTTGAGCACAAGCATTTGTTCTCTTTGCCTTTGCATCACCGTAATATCACTTGAGAGAGGCATTATAGCATTTAATTCTTCTGAGACTCGCTTAAGATCAGCAAAGTATTCAGTTACTGTCTTGTTATCTTGTTGCAACTGAAAATACTCCAAAGAAATAGCATACATCCGTGAGAGATTACTGTAATATAATAACCAGACATAATCCCAAACTTCTTTTGTTGTCTCACAATGAGAACACATGTAAGCAATTCGTGGCTCCATAGAATTCCATATTGTTTCAAGAATTTGAGCATCCTCTTGAATCCACATTAGTCTCTTGTTGTCCTCCGTAGGAGAGTCATCTGTCAAATATCGTTGCTTTCCTAAGCCTGTTAGATAAATCTTAACGGCTTTGGACCACTGTTGATAATTGGTGTCATTCAACTTCCAATTTGTGATTTGAGGCATCACCATTGATATAATATTAGTGGACGTCACAGTACCTTTTGATAAACTTTCAGCCATAGCGAATAGCACTTCAAACCAAAGAAAGGGTCAAAACTCGAGACGAACAGTGCCGCGTGAACCATGCGCCGTGAACAGTAACGGCGTGAACAGTACGGTGCGCGTGAACAGTGCCGCGATGAACAGTGCTTTGCTAGATGTTTAATTCTAACCCTAGGACTTTAGCTCTGATACGATGTTAATAGGTATTTTGGGAGGAAAACTAGTATTTATAGGAGTACAAACCTAACCAACTATTTACAAGAATACCCTTACTAATTTATTATCTACAAGAATACTGATATTCTTCTAACAGGCACCAAAATCATGGAACTAAAGGGTACTAGCAGTTGAGTGTTTGATTATATCATTATAGGTGCAAGTGAAGTTCCTTCAGCTATGTATCGGGCACTATGTGCAACAAATGAGTCATTGATGATGATGTATAATTTGGTAGATTTAGCTAAAATGGGTTCAGATGCTTTTTATTATATACTATCTTCAAAAAATCTACTTCCAGTGATGGATATTAGGGAGGTAAGAGTTGGAAATTCATTTTTATATTACATCCATAATCAAACTGTAGCATAAACGTACTAGGTCAAGGTTGAAGTGTTATTCTATGAGATTAGTAATAGTATTCATGCTGTTTATGCTTTCTGTATCAGTTTCATGATCAGTGATTTTAAACTTGGAGATGCTGTGTGATGTTTAACAGGAAACTACTTATGATCTAATCCTAGAATATTTAGCATTACCCCTTTAGCCTCTTTTGTCAAAGGTCTATTCGGGCTATGCATATTCTGACATTATTGGAATTGTGCACTTTAACAAAAAACATGTGGAAGCTGACTAGGAGGTGAAAGGGGAGAGAAATCGTCATGTAGGTGAAATACATGTGATTTACCTCATCATTTTTTAGTATACAAAAGGGTAGGGGAAGCGAGAGCAGAAAGAGTTACTAAAGGAAAACCTTCAATGAATATTATGACCTGCATCCTGTTGTCTTAGATTTGTTTTGAAGTCAAATGAGGGTCAATGTGACCAATTCACTGCTGTTCTTCTTGCAACCTCTCCCATTTGGGCGGGAAAGAGAAGGTGGTCTGTAGGCTTTTGCAATCCATTGGCCCCCTTCCACCAGAAGTAAGCATGTAGTAGTTTCATGACCACGTATTACACTTCTTCTCTTCCACCACCTAATTACTGCAAAAATAGTTCACAGCAGATGTTACTCTATATTTTTTTAAATCTATACCTTTATGTTTAAATGGGAATTGGAATCACTTTTTTGCTTTACTACCTCATGGTAAGTTGGAAAAACAATAATGATATTAAGAGTTCTGTCTGTGCATATCTGCCATCTTAAAATGGTGCCTGAGGCGTAATGTCAGAGAAAATCTAAAGATTGATGATATAGTTGATATTATGGGTTTTACTCCATTTATTTCACAAGGACATGTTAGCCTGCTTTGTGGACAAAGTTGCTTTGGGATGCAGTCTAGAGCTTACTATTAAGATTTTGTTTGGCTTATGTTTCATTGAAGGGTTATATAGTTCAAACCAAGCTATCCATATGAGTTTGCTACTAGTGATATTGGCATGAGATTATATGGTTCCTGTGTTATTCTTACTAGTTGAATTTCTAAATCTTGAGGTCCAGCCAACTGTTAGACCAGTAGATGAGCATGGAGCCCTTATCTACGCAGGACGATGGGGCATCCACGGTGTTTCTCTTCCAGGGAGAGTCACTTTTGCTCCTGGAAATGTTGGATTTTCAACTTTTGGTGCTCCGAGGCCAATGGAGGTTGGTATGGTTACCCTATGTTACCATATAATTAGCCTTTATGGTTAGTGATAGTGTTACGTTATGCTTTTGAAACAGACACAAATCATCAGTGATGAGACGTGGAAATTGATTGATGGAATTTGGGATAGAAGGGTCAATGAAATAAGGGCAGAAGCCTCTATGGAAATCAAAGAAGAAGAAGATAAACAAGAGCCTCAACTTTTAATGGCCAGCCATTTCCTGTAATGTGTGAATCCTTTGGTAAGTTTCTGGACATTTGTATCCGCTAGCTCTGTGGTGCCTGTTTCCCCGCCGAATGTTTGTGGTCAATTGTTCTGGATGTTTTAAATTTCAATTAGGACCATGTGGCTGAAAACACAGTTCATGTCTTATGAAGATGTAATGCCAAAACACAATGTCAACTTTATCTTAACATGTTTCTTATTACTGTTATGTTTTTCTGAAGCCATATGTATGCTGTCAATGTTTCATAACAAACCTCTCTTCTATTGATAACTATCACCTTTTCATTTAATTGGAGGTCTTTTTCCTTGTCTTAAGTTTCAATGGAAATTTACACATTTATTGGCCTAACCAGGAGCTTGATACTTGAGAACCATTCTTATATCAACGTCTATTTTTGTTGGATTTTGCTAGAAAAGTGGAAAAAAATTCTTGGTTATCTGTTTGTTTTTGCACATAGACTTTTAAATTTATAGTCTTTTAGTATCTGTTTCAACTTATGACTGGTTCTTAGAGTTACATTAGAATCCTTTAAAGATTAATGATCTTCACTTTCGATAAACCAAATGGCTTTCTGTATGTTTTCCTTAATTCTCCTTAAGGTAAAATACTATGGTCTCCTTTGAAGCTAGCCAAGAAGTCAGTCAGTAGCCGACCAGGGGTTTTATATGCGACAAGAGATGAGTCCACGTGCATGCAACCATTTCTATCTAGTCCTGATACGCATAGATTTGATCTAGTTTCGTTATCAGTCTCTCCTTTTTTCTTCTCTGATCCTTCAACTTTTCTCTCTTTCCGTAATTGTGGCTGCGTTGTCTAATATAATCTTTAATCTAGTTGTCAGTTATTCTTTTATTCTTATTTTTTATTTCTTGTTTCAATTTTTATTCCTTCTGAAGGGAAATGTCAATTTGGCAACTGCACCTGAACCTCAAGGTAATTTTTCCAGAACTTTAATGTGTAATTTCATTTTACCATATCTATTTGGGGACTTTAATATGCAGGGTATTATCAATCAAGACTGTTAATCAGAACAAAACTGATGTGACAATACCAGGCAGAGTTGGTAGTTGTGACTTTGAGAGCTGAATCGTGCAATATCTGGCAGTCATGGGATTCGATGAGGACTTTGAGAGCTACAGGTGTGCACCTGTTTCACCAAAGAGTTCAGCTTTTGGAAGGAACTGAGCCATGGTGTAGAGATAACCAAGTGAAATAGCACTTGCACTGCTGCTCATAGCTTGTAGAAAGGCCAGACTTGACAGATTCAAATTTTCGGACGGCATTCATTAAAAGTTTTTGCTGACCTATATATGTAGAAAGTGGGAGAAAAATATATCCCCAGAGGTGGCTTGATCTTTATGTTAGAAATATATTAAAATTCAAGTTTGTAGCTTCTTAACTAAACATAGAAGGACGGCTGTCACAATGGGTAGGACTAGCATTGAATTTTCTCTTACCTGACATGAATACCATGCCAATATTATCAATCAAACTTGAGTTAAGGTTGTTATCTTGCTTTGTCAAATATTGACTTATTATTGTCACTGCCATTTCATTTTGAGTATGTACATCGAGTTCCATAGTAGTCTTAATGGCTGATAATGAACCAGCTATACAGGTGCAAGAAAAAAGCAGCGGCAGCAGCAACTACACAGGGACTGAGTGTTTGAATTTGTAATTAGTTACGGATGGAGACAATAGGGCCTCTAATAGTGCTTTAATGTATTTTCCTGTTAAACAATGTTTGCAAAAGAGTCAACTTGAAATTTTTTGTGTTGGGTTTTCTGCTTTGAATGTTCATTACATGTTATTGTGAAATTTATGTAAGCCCTTCTTTTGTTTTTACATATTATTGTGTTAAGATGCAATAGTTATCTACCCCAGCTTCGAATGGGGGACTTTCTGTGTGCGATTTCATGACATTGTGGACTGAGGTATTAGTTTCAGTACATACAATTTGCTTTTTGGCTGTTTCAGTGTTTCCGAGTTGATTTACTAGCATCCGCTTCCATATAGTGATATGCATGTAAAAGCAAAGTTTACAGAGCTGACCAGGTCAGACACGCGTTGAGCTGCACTCTGGGGAGGCAAGGGGTGGGTTGGGGGAGGGGGGGGGGGGGGGGGAGGATTCCTATTACACATTTTTATGTTGCGCTACGTTATACAATTTCAAAACTTGAATGCTTATCCATTATTGCACGGGACGTGTCATTGAAACGGATAGTGTAATAAGAGTGTAATAGAAAATCATTAGTTGAGAAACGCTGTAAGTGATGAATTCAAATTGAAAAGAAAGATTGTAAAACAATAAAGATTTATAGAAGTTTACACACCATTTTACATAAATTTGGACGGTGAAAAATTATAGAGGGAAATTTTAAAATTTCACTTGTATTTGCTTAAAAGTCAGATGATTGGCACGTGAAATTTTGTTTCGATTAACAATTATGTTAGTTGAATATTAAAGTTGCGTCTAAAACGAAACAGTACTACTTTTTAGGAAGTGTACATTCATTTGAAAATGTTAGTTATTTTTTTACTACTTTTCATTCTTCTTCTCTACTAATGAAGATACAAATTCTCTAAATTGTTTTGGAGAGAGTTTCTTTATTTTGCTGTAGGGAAACTCTAGTTCAGCTTTACAATTCCTAGAGGGAATTGTGGCAAATCCGATAGTAATGTAGTGGGGTTAAATTTCCTCAAGAAAAGTGAATCTATTCTCGTCAAAGCCACACTTGTAGTTATTTTTCTAACAATGTTGTTAATTAAGAATGCTCAATTATCTTAATAGGTGATGAATTAGCCATCATTTATAGGCAGAAGAAGACTTCCCTGTGACTTGGGGTAAAGAGACCTCGGGTAAAAGATGTCTAAAGCTGCTATGTTTGGCGATAGAATGCCGGTTCAACATGCACCTACAAGTTGTAAAAGAGTAAAGAGGAGATGTTTTGGTGATGGACTTAAAATTAAACCAATGATCTTTCTAAAATCTGTAACTAATTATGAGTTGTAATCATTTATGTACTCCCATCATCTGAACTGATCAATTTCACATGAATGCTTATTTCTGTAGTGACAATTTTTACCAACCAAAAATGCCAAGAACTGCAGAAGCCTCTCTCTTTATGTTTTAGAATGAATCAAATTTGTGCAAAAACGTGCTAATAGGGTAATATTCAATTCTAAACTCTGAAAGATAGTAGGCTGGGATCTATATCTTCTGGTATTCGACGTTGAGTTGGAAACTTTGGAAGCATAACTGCTATGTGCCTTGCAGTCTCCAGATACTTAGCATACTTGCACTCTAGTCCTGCTTCTGTAGTTTCCTTATCTTTGTTTTCTTTTGAGTCATTGCACCCAAGGTTGAAGTCCTTGATCAAATTGGCTAATGATGTACCATTGAAGTCACAGTTATATCCTTCTCCAGCCTCCTTTAATGCTTTTTTCATGAAGCTCCAATCACCAGTTTCCCAGTTGAGGTGGTATAATGGGAGGAACCTTTGTCCATAAATAGCTAAAAACTCAATTGCAGCTAAAATGAACTCAAATTCTGCCTTAGACATGTAATATGAAAAGCTAACTCTCGTCCATCCTGGCTTCACACCAATGTATCCCTATCCAGAAATGAAAATCTTAGCAAGGCAGCATGAAATGATGAAACAGCTTTGCAGTTTCCATGGCAGAAGCTAATTAGTTAATAGGTATATAATCACTTACCCTTTCAGCGGCAGATCGCAGGGCAAGTGATTGAGCCCTGTCAATTTCGAGCAACATGTGACCATAGGGCCCCGCACAAGCACATCCTCCCCTAGCCTGGATACCGAAGAGATCACTGAGGAGCTTGGAAATGTAAGGGCCATGAAGAGGTTCGCCCTTCTTGTTACCTGTTTCTCGCCATAGGTAGAGACCTGATGTTTCGTTCCTGTCTAAGTTATCCTCAGCGTTGCCTTCTGCAGAGGGAGAATATGTAGTAGAGTAAATCAGAAAGGATAAGACCGCTTGCCGCTTCTCTGTTACATTTCCAAGAATCTTTATGTTCGGATTTGGAAGAAGCCTTTCAAGTGCTTGTTGAATGTAGTTATGCTCCATTGTTTCAATCACATTGTGACCAATGTATTCTTTTACCCAAAAAGCTAGTGTTGCTCTGATCTTCTGGATGATAGGCGGAGTTCCTGCTTCCTCTCTTTCCTCTACATTCTTCACATACAATGTATCCTGAGGCAGTAGAAACACTCTCATGATTTAGCAAATACTTCTTGAACTGATCTGAATTTCAACTGTTTAAAGATTTCCATCACTCAGTTTTCTAGCTGCAGAACATTTTGGTTGCAAGAAAATTGTCAAAATTTGGCTTCAAGCAATGTCCATTCTTACCTCTAAGTGCCTCTAACTTCAGAGATTTTATTGGATTAATATCTGTAGCCAGTGAAATACAACAAAATTGAAGTCTTCTAACAGTTTATATACACAATGACAATGACTGCAGCAAGCATTAGTATCTCTCTATTTATAGCCTCTATAATTTTTCATTGGTTAAATTGTTCAAGTTCATAGGAGTTAATCTGCCTATATCCTTTTAGTCCATCTAATAAGAAGCGATCATGAAACCAAAGACTAGTTTTGCTCGCGAAGATCCAAAAGTACAGAAGAGTTGGAGCTAAAATCCAGTGTACAATTTTGACTTTTTTAGCTCACTGAAACCACAGGTAAAATCAAATACAAAGTTGAGACAAAATTTAAGGGACACTTGCCTGCTCACTGAAGCCATTGACAAAATGAACTGTTCCACCCCCAGAAGTTGATGGGGCTGAAGATCTCAGGTGATAAAGAGCCTTGCTCATCAGGAGGATTCCTGGAGAACCCGGACCTCCCAAAAATTTATGTGGACTAAGAAAAACAGCATCATAGCCATCGCTTTCCCCTGGCCTCATGTCAATTTTCACATAGGGACCACTGTACATGCAAAAATCGCAATGAATCAATATAGATTAAAGTACATCTAAGAAGCTGTGCTACAAAACTAAAAGTTCTATGTTTCAAAGCTCGGAATTTTAGATACCTTGCTGCAAAATCAAAGCAAGCAAATGCTCCGTATTGATGGAGTAGTCGGGCTATGGCCTTAGTATCTGAATAAATTCCACTGACATTGCTGCAAGCCGAGAAAGAACCAAGCATGGGACAGTTTCTTGACTTATATGATTCGAGTTGCTGTCTCAGAGCTTCCATGTCAATCAGGCCATTGTCATCAAATCCAATCTCAACGACCTCTGCTAAGCTCTGTCTCCAAGAGAGGATATTGGAGTGGTGTTCATAAGGACCAACAAAAACCACCCATTTTTCTTCATTTCCGAGACAGTTTGAGACCTTTTCTCTTATGATCGAAGGTATAGCTACTCCAATTACTTCTTGGAGTCTTTTGATAGCTGCTGTCGAGCCAGAGCCACAGAATATTATTGCATCTTCTTCTCCACCCCCTAAGCATTTCTTGACATATTTAGCAACTTCATGTGCCATTTTTGTCATCCTGCAACCCACATAACTATCACTTGAATGACAGTTACCTGAAAAAGCAGATATTGTTTTAATTATATCGACAAGTAGATACAGTGGAGAATATTTGATGCTCAAATGATTCAAGAACGCAGGAGCAACATACCATAGACAGGAAGAACATGATTGATGATATAGTCCTCAATGTATCGAAGACACCGGCCTGTGGCAGTGTGATCAGCATAAGTAAGCCTTCGTCTTCCAAATGGGGTGCCAAATTCTACATTTCCACCAATGATTTGTGATTGTATCCATTGAAGCTTCTCCTCTGTGGATTCATTTCTCGGTATACCTTTTTGCAGTTCATGAAATGATCCAACGTGGTACTTACTGGAAAGAGCATCAGATGACTCTAATCCAGCACTTTGTTTCTTCACTTTTTGCCCCGTAAGGGTACTTTCTTGCATTTTGGGATGCTCCAATTCCATGTGTAGAATCAGGTTGAAGAATATGAACAATTTTATATGTTGATTATTTAGATGGATTGTGTATATATAGAAGAATGATCTGAAAAGTAGACTTTAGAAGCTAATTCTTGGCATGGAATGTTAGTATTGAAGAAAACTGTGTGATAGCCTTCTTCTTACCTTTTTCCTTTTTTCTTCGACTTGGGCTGTGGATTTTTGACACATTTTCAGTGGGTCAATTTCAGGGTGAAATGTTAGATGGGATGTGAAAAAACTACAGGAAGTAGGACTTGGATGAAGTGGAGTTAATAAAAACAATCAACTTGTCCAATAGTTTTCGGTGGTTAAGGTGGAAGCTGCCTTGACTTGGATGAAGTGCATCATCTGCCCAATCAAATGTCAGTAAGTCACTTTTCTTCCATATGCAACATATTATTTTATTGACTCGTGTTGGTTTATTATGCACACAAGAACCGTGTATTGATCCTTGGCAAAATCTATGGATTATGGTAAGATGATAGGGCAATTTTGTTGCCCTTTCTCGCAAAATTGTTTTGACTTTTAACTACAATTTTTAAAAAATTTTCCATAATCAATGGATTATGGATTTTTTCATATGACTTAGTATACATGACTTTTGATTATCTATTAAAAGGTAAGAGCTATATATTAGAAGTGTTTACGAGTCAATTCGAGAGTTCGCTGATCTGATCCACACATATTTCAAATCACTAATCTTTTGATTTGTATTCGCTCAGTAAAGGAATGATATCCATAATCCAGATATCCGGCTCTTGTAGATCGGACATACCTGATATCTGATCCACCTAATCACAAATAAAACTCGTCGCCACCATTTGTAGACAGTTCTGCAAGTACATTATTGATACTACTATCATGCATCGTTTGTCACCAAGTTCCCATATCATAGAGAAGTCACCATCTTCATAGCAACCATCCCGTCAAATCTTCATCAGTGTTGCAGCCAATAATTCCAGAGGTCATGGGGATCAAGAATGCTAAATAATGAATACTATAGATTTGCTCCTATAGAGTTTCTAGACTTTGACCAAGAATGCTAAAGAATATGGGATAATTGTAGAAACCTCCCCTTAGGTTTTTAATAGTTGCACTTACCTTCCTGAGATTTTGAAAATAGTACTAACCTCCCTTATCATGAATTTGGGGCACATAATTAATGTAAGATAGCGTGAATTTACTAATATGCCCTTAGAGTTTAAGATTGTTAGAAAACAAATTTGGAGCAAATAAAAAGGGTTATAAACTAGTTCAGGATAACTAATTAAACAATATTAATGGTTATTTCTTACCTGATTAAACACTTTAAGTGCACTTACAAAATGCTGCCACAAAACGACGCCAATTGATACTCCAATATGACGTTATTTTGTAATTGACAACACTTGAAAAGACAATTCAAGTTGTATATTATCTGCATAGAAGTGAAGTAGAAGCAAGAAAAATGTAGGGGAAAGAAACCTCCAAACAAGACTCCATAAGAGAATAAGTTCTAGTGGTTTTAGTTGAGCTCACTTTATCTTAAATATTCATGAAACAGAAGGAGAAAGAAAGCAGAAATCAAGGCAAAATTTAAGGATTTTTTGTTAAAAATTTGCGGCAATCAAAAGACAATAGGTAAGCAATTCTTTATCATCTCAACTTAATACAAAAAGTTTCTTTAGTAAAGGAGAGTTTTTGGAGTTGGCTGTACACTTTATACGTTTTACAACCTCAGATTTCTGAACATATGTTCGTTATTTCTTCTAGTTGTTGCTAATGTACTTATTTTCTTTACCCTTATATTCTCTTCAATTTCACTAATTGATTCCACCTTTTAATGTTTTTCATTCTTTTACTAACACAATGTCACAAGAAACAAAAAGGGAACAAATGAAACAAAATTATTATATCACTTTTCAAAAGATTTTTTTAATGACATTTTCTTTGACATGGACTAAATTTGCTATTAAAATGTTAAATTTAAGGGAGGTTAGTGCTATTTTCAAAACCTTAGAAGAGGTGAGTGCAACTATTAGAAACCTTAAGGGAGGTTTCTGTAATTATCCCAAAGAATATGGCAAATCAATGAATACTCAAGATTCAAAAAAGGATTTGAGAGAATTTCCCTTTCTCCATGAAATTGGAGCCCAGATGCAGAAACGGCTTGATGGAGATGACGGTTTGAACCCAGATGTGTGATTGGGGTTATTACTTATTAATAATGTCGGTAACAAAATTACCAAAATGACCTCATGTCCAGATATCCATGGTCATCCGCAGATATGCCAAGCCCTTTGTTATGTCCCTTTCCTTTCTTTGGATATCTGCATAAAATCTGACGGATCGGATATCTGCAAAATTGGATCGGATAGTGCGGACTCTAATTGGATTCTTCTGCACATCCCTACTGTTATGTCCCTTTCCTTTCTTTGTACTCCTTTGTTATTTTGTTTTGTTTGAATAAGTACCAAAACCCACTCACTAGATTGGCGATTTTCGTCAAAAAAAAAAAAAGAAAAAAAAACTACATAGCATATAATTAAGATTGATTGTAATTTTATATACTCAGGACGTTTTTTTTTTTTGGGTGAACAAGTAGTCAAATAGTAGAATTATCACAAGATAATGGTGAGTACAATTGGTGAAAATTTTATGAAGTACAATTGTTATTATCAACCAAAAGAAGTTTCGCAAGAAGGCCTAAAAGGATTTAGTGGTCCACGGCCCGATTGAATTATTATTATTATTATTTTGGTTAATTGGCAATATCTATTCTTATTCCTACTCTAGTCTATTATAGTAAGAGGCTTAAATGGACCAATTAAAGAACTGACAAAAATTGAATTACTATTGAACCAAATGCGTGAATTATGCACCCATATGGATTTGGAGAAACTACATATAGGGGGAGATCTAAATGGGCTAATTAATGAATTGATAGAAACTGAAACACTATTAGATAGATGGATGCACTTTACACCTATATAGATTTAGAAAAGTCATATCCAGTGATAAAGTGATGAGAAGCAAGAAGTCATTGGTGGTGGCCAACAGTCCAAAAATACCGTTTGTTGACCTGATTGAATATTAGCCAATGACTTCTTTTGTTTCATAGATGATAGTATTACTTTTATAAGCAAGAGTTGAACTTCTTTTCATATACTAGTAAGGGAATGCCCGTGCATCGCGCGGGTGTTTGGTGCCTATGGTTAAAGAAGATTTTACGGTAGTTCAAGCGAATATCAAAAAACTCACGCACATTAAGTAACATTATGAAGTAACAAAATATCTAATGTATACTGGGAAATGGTGAAGGAAATTATGCATGCTATCTTGCTTGGTTCATATATTTTGAAACAAACACTTGTATATGAGCTTTTCATTAACAAGACTAAATGAGCTTTAAACAGATACCGAAACGATTCAGAGAATGTCAATAAACAAAGTGATTATCCACTTAAAGATGCATCTACACAACATTCTTGTTGATGAAAATAGCCAACTTTTTTAGCAACGACAAAGCCTAACTTGAAAGGTTTGGTTCCATCAGAGGATTCAACAATGGATCATCAACCCCCGTAAATTTTGGGTGAACATAATGCCAAATGCCCTTAACATAGGCCTTCGCCTGTAATTTCATTAACTCAATACTGATTAGATCTTTCCCCCAAAAATAAGGACAATTGAGAAAAATCACATCAAGATTGAAGTCATCTAGTATCTCCCGCCAAACCCTTGATGCCATGTTATGTGCTAAATTGCCACCAGCACTATCCCCACCAAAAAACACCCTATCAAAGCCAGCATAATCCCTAAGCCATACCTCAGGACCCTCGCCATTTGAATGAGGGGCAACCCATTTAACTGCAATCTAAGAATCTTCATAAGCAATAGGCAAAGAATGCTCAGGGACGAGCCGATAGTTAATTGAAACTGCTACAACACTAGCTTGTACAACTACTACATTAAGGTACACATGATATGTAGGAGAGAAGACAGATTTGATCAAAAAGCCTCCACCATGTAAGTAGACCAAAATAGAAAGTTTTGTATATCCAAACCTATTCCAACAAAACCACACCATTTTAATTGTATAGAACAACCAACTTTGTGAGGAAACAATAATATCAACATTAAATTGCGCTAACAAAGTATCCAATTTTGGAATGAAAGCATTTAGCTAACAATAGAAATTACGATTTTACAATGCAAATCATACCATTAAAAAAAAGAATGAAACCTCACCTCAAGTTGAACCACCAAAAATAGCTTTACCAGAGAACCATATTGAAATCCAAAGTACAATGACAATACAAATAAGTATTTACCAGAAGACGAAAGGAACATAACTGAAGAATGTGAAGGGACAGACATTTGAAGAATTGAAGTTGAAACTAATGCTCAATCATAAATTCCTTAATAAACCACATGCCCTTGCTTTAATTGAGATGAAAATGATGTTTGAAGTTCTTCAAGTTATAGTAGCAAAGTAACAGTAATAATTGATACAAACCAAAATGAATGTCTCTGCAAGGACATTTAAGTAATTACATCAATAAAGAATCTATTATGAGTTGTACCCATTCTAGAAAAGATGACCAAATAATCTCACATTCCCAAACTACCCAAATCTTGGAACAAATCATCACTGCATCTTTTAGAATACAAGGACATTTCAATAAACACAATAATACACATGCTATCTAAAGTAGTACCCAATACTATAACTACACTCAAAACAACCTCACAATCCCAAAATACCCCTACTCTTGCGGTTGAAATTCAAAGCCATTCTTCGACCCAAACTCATTCTTATATAGGATAAGAATACTTGTAATTTCGTATGTATTTTTAGAGGTAAGATTTATGTCATCTTCAGTATTATTTTAATAAAATTTGGGTGTGGTATTCCCCCGGATTAGCTAGTTAAAAAAAAAAAGAATAATAGCCAACGGTTTTTTTTTAATCCTTATTTTCATGATTTAGTTCCACTAATGCATTTGTACATACTCAAGTATATATCCTATTGCTTTCTTGGCGCATATTTTTACTGCAAATCTTGTTGCATATTTGTATTACGTGTGAGAAGAAGAACAGCCATGTAAAAACGTAATTGTATAATAAGAAAATAATGCTATAGAGTGGTAATGAATGTACACATTCATCTAATTGATGCCCTCTTGAAGGGGTTTTGATTAATTGCTGGATATTTATGACCTACCAACTTTATGGAAATTGGATTTGTTGACCACATATATATTTTTTTTTTACATTTTGTACAGCAAATTTTTAATACTACTCCTGATTGGTATTTGTTCCCTTATTCTTCTTCTTCTTTTGATAGAAAAGATCATTATATTCAATTAATCTGTACTAATGGCACAAGATGCATCAAATTAAACATAACACGGATACATAAAGATTTGAAGTCAACAAGTCTGAAAAATTCCTTATACTATATAAGATTGAGTTTTGGTCAAAGAGGAGGTTGAATTTCAACCGCATAGGTAGGGACTTTTTGGGAATTCGTTATATTATGAAGTGTTTTGCAAGTTGAAGGTACAAGTCAGGAAAGCCTGTGATTAGGTATATTAACCGAAATGGCCTCCTTTATAGACATTTAAAACTTTAAATGTGGTTGCGTGTTTGGGTATTTATGGTATGTGCAATTAATCTAGAACCATTTGTTGCTTTTGGTACAACTCATATAAGCATGTGGGTTTGTGTAATTATTGAAATGGCCTTTATACAGCACACGTTCAGCTCTTGAGCCGCAGACAGCAGTTTGGGACTCGCGCTTTAGCTGAAATTGCCTAAAATGAGTCTTGGCCGCTCTCACAGACAACTGTTTGTGTCTGTAACTTGAACAACCTTGTTCCCCACTGTTCTTGGCCACTGTTGCCTAATGTTTCATGAGCTTTCCGGATAGCTTCATGTTTGCATCTGGGTATTAGTTTTTGTATTCTTTGGATGTTGTCTCATGATATTGTTAGCTTTACCGTCCTGATTCCCAACTTGTCTTTTCATCCTCTCTCAGGTGTGGACTCCACTATTTTGCTATCATTTATGCCTGAATTTAACGGCCATAAACATGGGTTTATTAATGACTCCATGTTTGGCCTTTGGGATTGGATCTGTTTCCCCCCCTTTCAGCTTCGGGGATTGGGATTTTCCATGCCTCTTCCTTTCCCCTCTCATCCGAGCTCATGTCCGAAAGACCCCATTTCTTTGACATTATAGCCTCAATTAAATAGCCAAGCGTTTGTATGTTAATGCCCAAACGGCTGCGCATTGGTTATGCTTATTTCAATGCCTCCTCTTTCGTCTTCTTCGGTTTCACCATTTTAATATTCTGGGATTTGGGGCTATTTTTTATGCCTTTCTACCGAGCATCTCAGAATGTTCTTTAGCCGCAGCTACTCCTGGTGGTTCAGCTTGAGGTAAGATTTTTCCTGCAATTTTGTCGTTCATGTGGGTGGTTTGGGCCGTGTGTGCTTAATTTCTAAAATTTGACACTTGGCCCTTGTAATTTAGCTGCAACATACAAAATTTTTCACAAATTTAGAAGGCCTCTGTAATTTGACTGGTTTGCTTATAATGTTATAGGTTCGGGATAACAGCAAGAAAAAGCTCTCGGTGGGGTTTCTGGAATAAAGTTAGCTTTCTGGGTATCAAGTCATTTGTGTGGTTTTCTAATATTTGTCACTTAGGAACAACATCTGCATCCTAGAATACCGGAAGTGCAATAAGCGCAACTGAAGTAGCCAACAACCCAGACCTCAACTCTAAAGGAACACAAATGGATATTGCAATACAAGCAGTGGAGACAAAGAAAAGAGACAGCTCAACCACTTTGGCACCCTCATCGTCTACAAAGTCTAATGAAGGAACCAGTGGTACAACCCCTGCAAAACAAAATGAAGAAACCACCAAGAAGCAACGTATCTGAATGCTGCCTATTACAGCATCTAAAAGATTTTACTACTATTACTATCACTAAATAAGTGGACATACATAATGTCCTGTTGAACTACTCTATTATCTATCTGGATCATGGGAAACCTATTTGTCCGTACATTTTTGGGAATTTGTTGCATCTACTTATTTGTCTTTGAGAACTTGCTGATTCTAATATTGGGTGGCTCTTATATTGTTTGTCTCGTAATTGTACCTGTCTCTAATTATGTCGCACAGTGTACTATTTTTAGTTCAACGAAAACACTTCTTTAACCACAGACACCAAACACCCGTGCGATGCGCGGGCACTCCCCCCTAGTAATCCAAATAAAGACAGTATTATTGTTGCTCCAACATATTTTCCATCCAAATGAAATATATTGGTATTTGTTTCCTTCTAGTACTTTCTATAGTCTATTTCCCTCTTATAATTTCCTGCATTTATTTCCTTCAAGTTTCTTAATGTTCCATATTCCATATAATTAAATTGCTTAGTCACATTTAATTATTATACTAAAAAAACTGCTGGTTTAATCTTCTGTCAATTAACATTTTAATTTTAGATTGCCCTCATTTTAAAGTGAATCAGTATTTGTTTCAATTTCTTGTACTTACTTGGGTTTAGCTCTATACCAAAGGATCAATTTTTACAATTCGAATTTTTGGTTCACCTTCTGTACCTTGATTAATAGTGAAAAAACTGCTGGTATTTTGCAGTACGAATAACACATGTGAAGATGCATTTAACAAATTGTTTCTATGAGGTGGCATTTGGGGAAGAAATAACCACGTATAGAGTGACAAAAAAAAAATTTCTTCCCACGAAATTTCAAGTCCAATTTCTACTCTTTAAGACGCTCATACTTGGGTCATCCTCTAGTGTTTTGTTAATGAGGCCTGTGCATGGTAATTAACATATCTAGTCTATTGGGCTAATGGGAGACTTCCCAATTGAGTTCAATTGTTGAGGTGTCGTAGCCTCATTGGTCAATTGGTTGTAGTCCTTCAATTGATTTCAAATTGACGAGGTGTCATCTTGTGATTGATCAATTAGTGATAGTACCGCCCAATTGTATATGAAAATGGCGATGTGGCGAGTTTTGATTGGATGAGAGGTGGTAATCCTCTAATTGCATGTAGGATTCTCAATTATCCTTCTCTCTTCCTAATAAGAAAAAAGTTTTAATAATAGTTTCAGTTCTGATCATTATTACGAATTAAGACACGCTTTCGAGATTTTTTTTTTTTTTTTTATGAAAAAGTGATTTATCCTTACCATTGAACCAATATGTATTGATTGCATATCATTTGTTACGTCCCTGATAAAGTGTCTAAGATATACAAGTGGAGATGGTCAAGGGCTCAAGGCCCATAAGAAGACTCTGGCTAGAAAAAAAAAAGGAAAAAAGATTCTGGCTGACGTGTAATCAAAATAAACCTAAATAAAAACATTTTCATCTACCATAGTGGATTATAATTAACAATTAAAACCTAAATAAAAACTTTATCATTCACAAAACCACGTACTTTTTAGTGAAAACTAATGGAGGTAAATTATCCTATTTGAAATACTCCCCCCTTTTACTGAACTTTGACAAACGTGTAGTGTGCGAAAATTTTATTTATTATGTCTAAAATAAAAAGGTGGCATTAATGGTTTTAACAAAAATAATCAGATACAGTAAAACCTCTATAAATTAATAACCATGAGACCATTTCAAATTCTATTAATTTAAAGAGGTATTAATTAATTGATAAATTAATAATTTATTAATTTATTGAGTATACTTGCTGTTCAAAAAACATTCATTTAATCAACTAAAGTTTTATTCATTTTATAAAAAAATATTCTATTAATAAAATGAATCAAAAAATTTAAGAGATATAAACCAATTCATATCTACTGATTTGCAAATATAATTTAATTTTATTAATATCTTTCATGTACATACATAACTGATACCATTTTCCTATCATTATGAGGTCCAAAGGACTAGAAATACTAAATGATGCATGTCCATCCTCATTTTATTAAATACATACAGTGAATCAGATTAAGAATATTATGTATATAAATAACAAGTAAGCCTTCTTATAAATGCATACAGTGAATTAGATTGCAATATTATGTGTATAAATGACAAGAAAGTCTTTTTCTAATAAACAAACGCAAAGTCTTCTTATTCCATCTAAAAGGTATTCAAAAATCAACAATAAACTCATATTTTAGGAAAATATGATATGTAATATTAATGAATTATTAATTTATAATATAAATGGGACCAAATTGTTATCTAAGATTTTCAAAAATTTTTATTATCTTATTATTTTATTGAAATTATTAATTTAGCTTATTAGCTCAACTCCAGATCCAAAAAAATTATTATTCAATAGAGATTATTAATTTATTATGATTTTTACTGTAATATCTTAAAGTAGATGTAAATAAAGTGATCTCTTATCGAATAGTTTGTACTTGATGCATAACTTGTTTTATTTGAATCAAAAAATATCGAATTCCAATCAAATTCGAGAAACCAAGATCTTAATCTAGTATGGACTCAATCCATTACTTGTTCGATTCAAATCCAAAAATACTCAAGCTCCAACCAATATTTCTCCTTGCATTGTTTGTTTGATTCGAATCTAAAAATACTCGAGCTCCAACCAAATTTGAGCAGCAGCTAATATTTGATTAAGAACGAAATATTCGAGTATATTTGATTAACTTATTGCCTTACTCAATATGCAAAAGAATATTTATTTCAAAAAAAAAATTTATTACACAAATCGGATACCCGATCCGATCAGACCCGCCCCGCTTCAGTGTGCTCTGTAGAAGTGAAACCCCTTAAACCCTAGACTCATCCTCCGTCTCAGTCCCTTCAATACAAAACGCCACCGCTGACTGAAAAACCCTACTCTCTCTCTCTCTCTCTCCCTCCCTCCCTCTCTCCCTCTCACAGACACACACACTCTTCCCCTGCTGTATATCCAATCGGTGAGTTTTCAGCCCTAGTTTCCAATTCCTTTTCTGCCTTCACGCACTTCTGTTTTGCAGAATGGACTGTTTCTGTGTTTTCTCGATTACTTGCTTTTTATGTTCCTTGCCTTGGTTTTGTGTAAATTTATATTAATGGGTTTGAGTTTATAGGGACAAAGAAGCAAACATGCTTGCGCTTTTTGAAACCCCAGCGGGTTTTGCCCTCTTCAAAGTTTTGGACGAAGGCAAACTCTCCAAAGTTGAGGTGATCATTTGTGGCTGTTATTTATTTAATCTGTGGTTCTAATGATTTTGATTGATTTTAACTGCTAAAGGTTTTTCCCCCTTCGTTTTAGGACTTGTGGAAGGAGTTCTCCACTGCTGATTCCGCAAGAAAGGTTTTTTCCCTCCCCCTTTTTTATGAATTTTTCTGGGTTATTTTGGGAATATCTAGCTAAGATGACAAGTTTATTTTTGTTTCTTCATCTTGTGTATTTCTAGTAGATGCTATTGAAGAGTTCTTGATTGTAGTAGTCTGGCTTTTCCCGGATGATTTTTGGGCTATTTTTTGTTGGTTTGAAATTGTATTCTGTGATTGTTGTTTTTAGGCGTGGATTGATGATTTATCTGGGTTAATTTGTGTTTTTGTTTTGATTTTTATGATTAGATTGTAAAGCTAAAAGCTTTCTCGAAGTTTGAGAATACCTCGGAGGCATTGTCAGCAGCAACCTTGTTGATTGATAGCAAGCCGAGCAAAGGTCTCCGCAAGTTCTTACGTGCTCATTGCGAAGGTGAAGCTTTAGCTGTGGCTGATTCGAAACTCGGAAATGCAATCAAGGAGAAGCTGGTCAGCTAATAATTACTGTTTCTGATTGCAAGTATAGCAGTTCTTATAATGTATTCCTTGATTTTTTTTTGAACTCAAGAGACTGATTCTGTGTTTGCAGCAAATTGACTGTGTTCACAACAATGCTGTTATGGAATTGATGAGAGGTGTGAGAAGTCAATTGTCTGAACTCATTTCTGGTCTAGCTGCACAAGATTTGAGTCCAATGAGCTTGGGTCTGTCCCACAGCCTGTCTAGATACAAGCTAAAGTTCAGCCCTGATAAGGTAAGTCTGTGTACCTCAGTATTTTCTGTAAACTTGATAAGCTAAACTTGATTATATCAAGTTTTCACTGATGATTTGTTTCCTTTTGGGTTGAATAATTGGTTGTTCCATTCGTGTAATGTTGTTTTTTTCTTCAGTTTAGATTGAAGAAATGTAGAAATCAGATAACTGTACTTGATTGAAAAGTTTACTGCTGCGTTTCCTTTTGATTTCTTGTCATCTTATAGGAAGTTAATTTTGTGTCATGTTGATTTTATTAGGTGGACACAATGATCATTCAGGCTATCGGCCTTTTGGATGATATTGATAAGGAGCTAAACACTTATGCAATGAGAGTTCGAGAGTGGTATGGTTGGCATTTTCCTGAGCTGGCAAAGATTGTACAAGACAACATACTGTATGCGAAGGCAGCAAAATTGATGGGTGACCGTTCAAATGCTGCGAAGCTTGATTTTTCTGAGGTAGAGCTTCAATTATTTATTTTCTATTATGGGACAGTGAAGGATTATGAGCAATATAATACCATAGGGTTTCTCCTTGTTAAAAAATCTTATCTGAGCCTTGTGGGTTGTTGCTAGACCCATCCATGGACTTGCTGCTCCTATTGACTTTTAGGCACAACGCATAGGTAGTGGTATTGTTTATAATGTTCCTCCATAAGAAGGCAGTGTTAGAATGATAGTCTGGTTTAGATCAAATTGCTGTTTAGTAGTTTGGTTTTTCAGTCTGCTTTGCTGGTCAAATGTTTCATGAAACCAGCAAAACCACCCTCCCCCTTTCCCTCTTATATTGCTATTTTTGAAGTGATGACATTGGCATTCTATGTTTGCACTTGAATTATCAGATACTCCCCGAAGAAGTTGAAACAGAGCTTAAAGAAGCTGCCTTGATATCCATGGGAACTGAAATTAGTGACCTGGATTTGATGAACATAAAAGATCTGTGCAACCAAGTTCTTTCTTTTGCCGAGTACAGAGCTCAACTGTATGATTATCTAAAGAGCAGGATGAACACTATTGCCCCAAA